AGTGTTTTATCGTTGGACAGCTGGAAAAAAATCGTTCTGAAAGTGATCCCAACGATATCGTTCCTCATATCTTTATCGTTATAGCTGTGGTGTGAACTCTGTTATTCATTAATATGGAGAACGATTTTTAGAATTATATCTTTATAGTTATATTTATAGTTATCGTGCTTGGTGTGAACGGGCCTTAAACCCCCCGAGGTTGGCTATCGTGCCAGTGCAATTGTATCTCTTTTCTTATCAGTGCAATAGAGACTCAAATATCTGTCGATTTTCGTCATACAGGCAAGTGTTATAAATCATTCAATACTGTTCAATGTCTTCTTTTGTGTACACTAGGGATGGTAAGATTCACTGATTCGCATCTGTGCATCGGCATAAAAGCTAGCGATGCATCGATTTAAATAAGTGTGCATCGGAAACAAGTTGGCATTTGTATCGCGATGCATCGTTTCTAACATCTGCATCGGTAAAAAAAACGATTTATTCATATCTAATTATTAGTTGATGCGCTACATCTGAATACAGTTATGAAAGACTTTTGTTTATGTTAAAACAGCCCCTGCTTTTATTTAATCTTTTGGTTTTGTGAAAAAATATGAAAGAACCATGCGGTAAAAGTCAGATGGCACTAAGCTACTTTATGATTTACTGTATGTATGAATAAAATAAATAAAAGTTAACTATCTATAACATTTGAATTTGAAATTTTATTTGAGGTAACATATGATAAACCATAGATTTTTGTCTAATGTAGTGTTACTGAAGTGTTCCTTTTTAATGATTTATAGGCTGCCTGCTATATCTGTTATTATTTTATGCTGACTTCAACATTTAACAGTCTCTGTACATGAACATGGTAAAATGAAAAATAAAACACCATGTAAATGACACGTATGTACCATGTTTCAGGAATGGCACAAAGTTGTGTGACTGTTCAAGCCTTTGTCAAGGTCAGTGTGTTTACTAAGTGTCCTTTGTTGTGTATTTTTGGATTATGTTGTGTTCTACAATCTAAAAACCAGTCTTTTTTAAATTTTAAAATTCTTTTTTATTCTTTTTTCAATCTCCCCATTCTTTGTGCAGATAGAGCCATTATGGGAGGGTCTTTGTCTTTCTCAGGTGTGAAATGCAGTAATATTAATGAGAGATCACGCCCCATCGCATAAATCTTTTACACAAAACATGTCATACAAATTTTAAACGACTTTATTGTCTTATCTGAATGAGTAATCAGGATGATTTTCACATAGTTTTGAGGCAAATACTCTAGGCTATGTGATACAATTTTCAAAAGTCTTGAAGAAATAATCAGTTTGGGTTTCATGACCTTATTGCGACAAAAGTGACGATTGTTTTGTTCACAAACCACGCATAAACGTCATAATCTCAAAACTACAAACTTTTACATTTTTACATGCATGCTGCTGACATAATATTGTGGCAGAGTTTGGGCTGAAAACAGTGTAATAAGACTTACACAGAGCATGGCAGAACATCTCCAGGAACCAGAAAACACTTTAGACCCCAGAGGGTCAAAGTAATTTGAACTTGTGATATCATTATTGTCTAACCCTAACCCTTGCCTAACCCTTATTTTTCATTTTTTTTTTTTTTTTTTTACAATTACTCATTATGCAGTCATTACAGAAAGCTTCATAATTACTTGTGGTAAATGTGATTATATGCCAAAAAAATAATTATTTTAACAAATGAATTGCTCATTGTGTAGCATAGTAAAGTATGTAATGTGGAATCATTGTATGGGGAAATTTATAAGTAATTATGTAGTTTTTGAACCAAACTGAACTCCTGATATCTTGCAGTTGCAAAAACAGGGCCTCCAGTGAGGCTTGTTCTCCAGACCCTCACGGTCCTTGCTTGTTCAAAACAGTAAACGTTCTGTCATTTCCAACAGTAAGTAGCAGAGGCATCCTGGGGTAAATAACTTCCTCAGCAGCTCTGCCCACTTCGACAAACAGTGTTCTGCAGTGATATATTGGGCTAATGATGTGCTCGAGGACAATGAATAAAATACTGACGCAATAAAACCTCACACGTTCATTTACCTTCTTCGTGTGTCTATAATGTGAACTTAATAAGCAACTCTCCATGAAGAAATAAATCCAAATCTCTGTTGTTGTTTTTTACTAGAAACATAATTAGAGGAAGAGTGTATCTAATATAGTCCAGATGAAAATAGGCACGGAGCAGTTGGATAATGATGCTGAGAGGAAATGCACAAACATTCGGTTTCAATGAGCATTGAGATGTTCTTCTTGCATGCAGTGATTAAACACGGTGTAGGATGATGCAGATATAAACCATTTGTCATTCTGCATCCCCTGACATAATCTCCCATAAACATACCCACCATTAAATGACGATCAGAATCTGATTTTCCATCTTTCATACTACTTTTGCATTTACTGTGATGCTCCTTAATCTGTTCTTATCACATATCTGACATAATTACCTGGATATCTCCAAGACAAAATGTACATGCTTTATTTCGATATAGGCCAAGATTATTTTAATTTCTTTTGAGTGTTTGTGCTTTATGGGATGCATCATGGGTCCGTTTCATAACCTAGTGAGCTACCTCACGGAAACTGACTGACATATTAAACTGACATGAAGCGATCTATATAAAAGGTGTAACCGACTCCCTACTGATTTAAATACAGGCAACGCAAGATTAACATAAGATACGCTAAGACACGTTCAGCGTTGCAACCAAGCACATAATACTTTTTTAAACATTCAAAATATTTTGAAAACAAATTGTAATAATATTTTACAATATTGCTGCTTTCAGTTTGGGCCAAAAAAAGGTACCTTAGTAGGGAGCATGACAGCAGTTGACTACCTTAAGATGCCTATGGAGGAAACTCACTAGTACTTGAAATAGAAGTTAAAATGTGCTGTATACTGCCAGTAATTGTCTATTCTCATCTACAAACAGATTTAGGTAGGATTGGTCCCCAAGCAAATTTTAAAAAAAAAAAACAACAACTCTTAACCTAATTTGATTTCCAACCAAATTATAACTTTTGGCAAAATTGCTTTTTAATTCAATATTCAAGTTTACGGTAAAGAAAAATTATGTAATTTCAAACGATATTAAATAAGAAAATTAAGTTACTAACATTGATTATTCTGAACAGCTGCTTTTAATAAAAAACAACATTTTTTTATCTAAGACACATTTTTGTCCAGAACAACAATCTGAATTGATTTAAAAGTCAAATTGAGATCCTTTCACAGTTTCTACAATAATCTAACGCAACTCAAAGGTAACTAACTAGGCCAAGCACAAAGTAGAAAACGCTCCAGGTGTTATCCACAGCTGCAAATCTTTTTCCCCAGCCCAAAGTGTACAGAGTGCCTACAGATAAAGCATGCTGCAATGCCCTGGACAGGTCAGTAAAAGCAGAGTTCTCACAGAGACACACAATTCGGCCACAATTACAGTTCGCTTCAAGCGTCTCACTCTCTCTCTCTCAACCACAGTGCTTTTCTTTGCTCTAGTCTCACTGCAGTCCAGAAAATAATAGAGTGCTAATTAATTTCTAAATCCATCCTATTCTCAGAGATGAACAAACCTAAAATCTTGCTTTTGATGAATGTGCCGATTGCAATGGTTTTCAATTACGATCCTCAAAAAAGCCTCATCATCAACGCATTGTCGTCAGTTAATCGGCGCGCAAGTATTGCAAGACAACTTTGTTCCACATTTCTGATTAAAACTAATGAGTTCTTGATTTCCTGAGTTATAAATAACAATGATTAACTGAATATTTAATAGGAAACAAAAAAAGTCTGATGTTTTCATATTTCATCCCAACATTTCAATTATGCAAATGGACAGAAAAATAATCTACTTTAGCCAACAAGTTTCTGAGGAAACAATCTGGCTTCAGAGAACATCATGTACAAGCATAACTAACAGAGATTTATTTATAAGGCTTAGGCAAATCTACATTATTGTAAAATATGTAAATGAGTTTATACATTTAGAAAATATATTTAATGAACAAATGTTATATAAAACCAATATCTAAAATGTAAAATAAATGATCAAAAGTGAGAGTAACGACTTCTAGAGTACATTGTTTCTAAAAATAAAATATTCAAAGAAATTAAAAAAAATGTATTAAGGTATCCACAAGAATTAGGCAGCACAACTGTTTTCAAAATTGATTAGAAATGTTTCTTGAGAATTAACTGGGCATTTTAGAATGATTTATGAAAGATCGTGTGACACTGAAGACTAATGGCTGACTCGTAATGAAGACTAATGTAGACTAATAATAGCTGCTGAAATATACTGTTTTTGCTGTATTTTTAAAAACTGAGGCACACAGTGCGAGAACAGTTACAGATATAACATTATTCAAGAGCACATCTGGGCAGTGGACACATAAAAAAAAGATCAGAGTAAGCAAATACACTATCCTGAACCGCAATCAAATCGAGCTTCAAAACACCTTGACATGTATGGGACTGTGAACCTACAGATGCACCAAGAGAAAACGGCGTGTCCATATCAGCAGTTCTTCATACATGACTGCTCTCTGAAGATACTGGCAAGCGTTTAGAGCAGTATGGAGCGAGCAGCAGGTCGTGTTCTATAAATGGCAAGACTAGATTATGGTTGAAGGCAGGAACCAAGCACCCACCATAATCCTTTAAACCTGACATGTAAATGTACAGTTCCTTCACAAGCTAATCAAAATTCAAACAGGACACAGAAGTGTAACAAGCAGCACCCCTCTGCATACAATCTAAACAGCAAAAGGATCACGGCCGCCAAAGTTAGGCTGCCAAACTAGAGCAGAGATGAGGGAAGAGGTTTGGAGACATCACAGCATGGTTAGGCTACAGATGGCTGCGTGAGATTTTAATAGGATCCATATGGAGACAGGTATCCAGCACGGCCGTTTGTTTAAAACTCGAAGATGCACACTACAACTCTGGGCGAGAATGCACTTGGGATTTTGATGGACTAGCGAGAGAGATGGTGCTGGTGGAAAAGCTTTTTTTTTTTTTTCTTGAGGCAGTGTTAATATGCTCCAGAAAGTTAGAAACATGGCTGCGTGGTTTCAAGTATAACCTCACTATTAAATAAATGAGCTACTCGAGGGACCAACAAGGTGGTCTCGGCAATTTAGAAATAATGATAAAACAGTGCACAAAATGCTGAAGTCATAAATACGAAGCATTAAAAAGTTTTGTGCAAGGATTGCACAAAGACTAATAACTCAATGTACCGGATTCGTTCCACATGCATGTGATTGCACAAGCAATTTCAGGGATCATCAGTGAGGAATTATCCCACTTCATTAGTCTTGTGAAGTTAAAGAGCCAAATAATTCAGCCAAATATTAAAATTGGGTCAGTATTTACTCACCTCAAAACCCCTATGCTGTCAGTATTTACTCACCTCAAAACCCCTATGCTGTTATTTATTTATTTTTTTTCAAGGCAAATAATGGCATCATTTTCCTTTTGGGGTGAATTTTTTTTTTTTTTTTTTTTTTAAGGGGTCATGAACTGAACTGAGATATCGAATTTTCCTTGAGCTTTTGACATCTAAGAGGTCATCATATTTTAAGAATATCCTGTAAGTTTCAGAATCGAAAATGGCCTTGTTAGTCCAAAAAAAGCTTGTATTGACACCAGGCTCAGCAGACGACTCGTTTTTCAAAGTGGGGAACTATGACATCAAAGAGGATAAAACACCACCCCCGCAGAAGAAGATCAACGCCTACTTCAACACGGCCAGTTTAGCTCTGCCCACCGATTTGCGCATTACACGCATAGCTAAATAACATAGATTCCTACCTCGTGATGACAAACCGGATCGAGCTACCGAGCAATACAAAATATTGTGCAGTGCCTGGTTGAGGAAGAAGACAGTCGCTGCAAGCGAGAGAGTTGAAACTCATATGCAAAACTGTTATCCACTCACAGCAGTGGGTATTTACTTCCATGTCTTCAATGCGAGACGCCCATAAAAACAGAGCGTTTTTGAGCTAGGCTCAAAACTAGGGAAAAAAATAGCCTATTACTTATTCATTTTGATGTTTTTGAATGTAAAAACCAAGCGAATGTCATACGTTTCGAATGTCAATTTCACATGGCCAGTCTCACACACAGTAACACACTATAATGGACTTCCTTTAAAACAACCAATATGAAATCAATTACATCAATAGCCATCCTATGAATGATTTACGCAGGGAAACTACAGAGAACCACTCTTTTATTAAAGATAATAAAATCAGTGCAGGCCCTTGACGCTTCAATCGCGGGGTATTAAAAGTAATATCCCTGGTACGACAAAATGTGTGTAATGTTGGAACGGAGAGAATAGAGACCCATCTGTCACTTGCTTAGTTTAAATTTAATGATAATATTCCCTTTAATTCCTCTGACAGCAGCTGCCCAATAAACAGAGGTGCTGGTGGGAAAGATAAATTATTCTTCTTTTAATACACTGTTTGGTCTCACATAGTTATTCTTTATCATTACTCTTTTCACCTATTTTAAAATAAAGTAAATCAAAATGCATGGAGATTATATGCAATTGGAAGAAGAAAAAAAAGAGAGGGAGAAACAAATTCAGTCAAGTGTTCCCAAATGTCCAAACATTTGACTGGTAATGTGTGCGTGTTTCCGACACTAATATTTCATACACACCATCGCACACACAAAAAGAAGCTATTATCCGAGTTGACTGACACATGATATTTGATATAATTTATATATCTGAAACCATTAGACTCAACAAACAGGGATTCATACTTCACTTGTCCGAACTCTTTTAAATATTCATTATGCACGACTTCAAGTCACATTTCCCCCTTTAAGTCAGCTATTACATCAATGCCACAACCATATTTGTCAGGCTTTCACTTGGGTTGACAAAATCTGCCAGTCATCTTCACCAGGGCAACTCTCTGAATCATGGTACAGCATAACTGCAAGATCATAACTCCTATTTTAACTTCTCTTAGTACAGTACAAAAATACCGGTATGAACAGTAATACCAAACACCAAGTTTTTGAAATCCTAAACGTAATTCCATTACATGTGCCCTTGAGCTTTGACAGGGAAAGTATCGTAAAAGTCTAAAGATCGTAAAGTATTTTTAAGCAGCACTAATTTCACCGGTTTGGTATTTTACCCGTGGAGAAGGGGCCATGCAGTGGATCAATACAGGCAAAATCCTGGCATCTCTCAAAGGACTTCTATGGAATTTATGGAACAGTGCCCAAATACCTTCAAGCTAACTTTACAATACATCTTTCCATCCAGTGGCACTTCATACCTCACCAAAACAACACTGACAGCGGATTTATGCATTATTCTGGTACCACATTACGCCATTAGCTCGATTGTGCTCATATTTTCTCCAACTACCATTAACAGCTAAAACCACACATTAGAGAAATGCAAAAGCAAAGCTGACAGGTCTGACTTTTTCCTGCACCTACTGTGCACACACTACACGATGCAGATATAGCAGACAGAAATAAATATAGGTGTGATTTTTGCAGCTTATTGACATTTTTTTTTTCCTGTAACAGCGTTGGAGGTTTGCTCTATAAATATGTATATGCAAGTCTTCCTCGATTTCACCCATATCGCTCGCAAATCTGGGGTTTAAATGACTGTCCGACGTCTCCTTCGGCAGACATTCGCATCCGCCGTTTTTCTATCTGTCATGTTTTACCGCAATGCTCAATGTCAAGCTTACACCGCAGGTTGGTGATTTGCATTTTTTTGTGACAAACTCGACAAAAGCAAAAGCAGTTCCCACAAAAACACCACCTGATTTGGGTAAAAAAAAAAAAAAAGACAGATGATTCTGCAAGTGGATTAAAGTAAAGCAAGCAATCAACATGTCCCCAACAGAGACGATTAGGACAGAGCTGATAAGATTAACACGCAACAATCACCGTAATTTCATATACAGCTCCACAGCAATTAAGACATTTCCCTGTGATTATTTGTTGATGCAATTTAAAAGCTCTGTGGTTTCCCTCAATTAGACAAGGTGAGGATGAAGCCGCTAGCCTTTGATTAGAGACAGAGCAGCTCTACACAGAAATACACCCTACCTGCATTGTGCTGCTGGCGCGGGCTGCTTCTGTTTACTGCACCCATGGGAAGAGAAAGGGGAGAGGGGAGAACAAAACAACATGGAGACAGATGAACATGATGTGTACAAATGACAAAGGAAATTCAGTGAAGTGGAGAGAAAAATCAAAAGCTTCACATGCTAACAGGAAAAAAACAATGGGTTGTGGGGGTTTGCAGATACGATGCATTAGCGCATATGTAGGTATAAACAGAAGATGTAAAAATTATTTGGATAAAAATTAGACCTTGATGAATGAGAGCGAAAAGGCTGGAATGAATATAATTCAGTCACAGTGTTTCGCAGCGCATTTCATTTATACACTGAACAAAATGTCAGGTACAAGAGTTCAACAAAAAAAAGGCTTGAGCAATTTTCAACAACCAGGCAGTAATTCACGATAAGATATCTGCAACAATAAAAGGAATTGAGTTTGGAATTGAATTATGATAATTTGAAAAGGCAAATATTTTAAAAGGGGACTCCAACAGCACTAATCTGCACTAAATAAAAGGTGAACGCAATTTACCAATTTCCGTAGATCTAATTAGATGCTACAGGGAGCAAATTATATTTAAAAATATATATGAGAAAGCAAAGAGAGAGAGAAATAAAATTGACAATTCCTACATTCGTTCATCTTGTTATCTAAATTGTTTTACAGGGTTAATAAAACAGTAATGAGCCAAGCAGGAGTTTGGGAACGTGTTTGAAAACATGTTACAGGAGTCTGACAGTGAGATGGAGAGGCTGGGAAGTGAGGCAGGAGATGCTAGAGGAGGCCGTGGGTGGGTGACTGTGTCACATTGTGGCATGGATGGAAAGAGAGAATCTTCAGAGAAAATATCACTGCCAAGAATAACAAGGGAACTTGAAACAACTGCAAAAATGGTAATCTGTCCCGAGCCTTAATAAAAGAACGCAAAGGTGAGGCTGGTCCATAAATTATTTCCCGTACTATCGCATGAAATCCAGATGAAGATGGTGTGAACCCTGCTACTCCGGTAAATTAATATATTCATTGATTTCTGGAGTCTGTAGGAAATGGTAAGGCCCATATTGCAGTATTACATTGTAGGACGAAGTGTCCTTCAACCAATAACATATGCTGAGCTCAACATGCGTGCGGGAGAATTAATTGAGGGCAAAACTGGTTCAGTCGATCTAGTCTGTAACAATTAAATTGGTAATAATAAACAATGAAAATAAGTGCCAGTCAAGTTCACTTATTATTTGAGTATTTGTGACACCACTTTAAACTAGCAATTCCTTTAGACATACACACTTTGATGATATTGTAAGAATATAAATATCTTAAATTGGACATGGAAAGTCAATAATCAAAGATTCAAACATTGTCATCATTCACTCACCCTTATGTCGCTCCAAACCTGTATGAATTTCTTTGTTCTTTGGAACACAAAGGAAGATAAATTAATCATTATCATATTTGTTGAATTCATTGGCAGTACATTGTGACTCACTTTAATGTTTAAAAGACCCAAGTGTGCCAGCAAAAAAAGTTAATGTGGTTTACTGATAATTTTCCAAGTGCTACAGGTGCTTTCAATTCTACACAACTCACAATATTAATCCTCAAATGGGATTTTTTTTTTTTGTGGAAAACAACCAGATGTATATTAGATTTTTATAGTGGCCACTATGGTTATCCTAGGCACAATCCAGAACACTCCAGGCCAATAGGTGGCAGAAATGGGTCAAAAAATGCCATTTACCATTAAAACAACAGAATATACAAATCAAAGTTTGGGCGTTTTCACACCTGAAAGTCCGCACCAAGGTCCGAACCAAAGTTCATGTTTTGATACATTTTATACTGCCAGAAAGTTTGGTTTCACACTGCAATAATGCGAGCGCACTATAGAACTTTGAGACATATTTACGTCCTGTCATCGTCATCTATGTGGGCTGGATCTTGACATTGATTGGTTCAGTTAATGGTGGTGTGTCTGACATCTGCGTGTTGCCAATTCGCCGGGTAACGTCCTCGTTGTGCGAACATTTTATCGTCACCGACAGGAAAGGACTTCTTATTATGTCATCAGACCATGCTTCAATTAAAAGCCTCGTCTTCTCATCTCCCCATGTGCAAAACGGCTAATTTCTCGAGCCACCTTCTGTTATTTCGGCTTTTTGGGAACCACCAGAACTCCCTGTAAAAGGTCTGAAAGTCCGAACCATACAGAAATGCTTTCACACGATAAACAAACCAAACACTTGCTCAGTTTGATCCGGACCGAGACCACCTCTTTTCATCGGACCAAATTTCATCTGTTTGGTTCGGACCGCGGTCCTGAGAAGGTTTCACACCTAAAATTTTGATTTGGACCAAACTGAAAAGTCCGAAAGTCCGGACCAAACAAGGTAGGTGTGAAAGGGCCCTTAATTACAATATTTC